ATTGTTTAGGGTAGATGCACATCTGAATCGCAGATTCGGCCTTCTTGCTCAGCAAAAGCCGTGATGGACTCCATAGCTCCCATAGGAACTTCGCTGCTTGCAAAAGCTTCCTCAGCCGAAGTGACACACATGGCTGATTCTGATTCGCTGCATCCCCCCGAGAAGTGTTCACGATTTCAATGGAAAAGAAACCAACATGCTATCTTATTGATGTAAGGGTCTGCGAAAAAGTCGTACGGTTTCTCGGCCGTCTGCTGCTGGCTCTGGGCTTTTGCTTCTGGCTTCGACTTGGCTGCGGTCATAGGTCCCTTGCTTGCTCGTGCTGTCTGCTTTGCGGCTGCCGTCTTTGTTGCTGGAGCTGCTGTCTCCTGGAAAACGTGGCCCTTTGTTGTTGGAGCTGCTGTCTCCTGGGAAACGTGGCTCTTTGTTGTTGGAGCTGCTGCCTCCTTGGAAAAGTGTCTCCTTGTTGGAGCTGCTGTTGCCATGACTGTTGTCGTCGTTGTTGTTGTAGCTGCTGTCTCATTTGCAACTTTTGTCTTCTTTGCATCTGGTTTCTCCAAAGCAGCCGCTGCAGGCCGCTTCAAACATGCTTCGTTGTCTGGCTCCGTGCATTCGTCATGCTCCATCTCTTCCTCCTCTTCATTCTCTTCACCTTCATACTCTTCATTCTCTTCATTCTCCTCTCCCTCCTCGGCATCCCCGAGCTGCGAGTCGATTGTCTCCCCTGTCATCTGCGTCTGCTGGGTATCCTGCTCCTCTTTTGAAGCACTCACATCATCGGCGTCTTCCTCTCCCTCTTTCTTTTTCTTTTTCTTCTTCTCTCGTGTAGAGTTCCACATATCCTGCCACACAGAATCTCGAGCAGAATCCGCAAAGCCCTGGCTTCGATCTTGATAAACCTTGAATCCCAACAAAAACTTTAAAACCCTGTGAGGCCTTGGGGAGCCAGCTGCGACATCTCAGGGCATCTTGGGCTACATGTCTGAAGGCCGCAGAAAGCTTTAAAGCGTAGGCCCCTGCCCACGTCGGCGAGACCGCCAACTTCTCATCCTGGGCAACACATCGTTAATTCGCAATCCTGGGATTATGCGGTTTGATGCTTCTACAGCTTTATGCCAAGTAGCCCGAGCTAGCTGCTGCAATGCTCCCGTGATCGTGCTGTGCGAGAAGTTCCATGTGCGGTCCACGGCCTGAACCCTTTTAAAGTGCGGGAGGTACTCCTTCAGCTTCTCCTTGTCTCTCGTTTTCATGCTCCTGGGCATGAGGTATAGCGATCAACTGGATCAGACTTTGAGGTTATGCTATCGATAATAAAGAGTGACAGGATCGACAAACGAAATACTGCACAAAGGCTTCCAAGCTTCCTATCGGATCCATAGCTTATGAAGAAGGGAACTTTCACCCAGGGTCGCAGGGCATCGCTCAACTTGTCCATGGCATCACTAGATCTCGAGCGGCCCCGAGCAAGCTTGCTCGCAGGCCTCTTCATTGCGACTTCCTACAGCCCTCAAGTCTGAAGCTTTGACCCCTGGTTTTGTGACCCTCGGAGCTTGCAACACAACAGCGGGGCCTCAAAACTCGGGTTGAACCCTAAATTAAGCTCAAGCCCAAAACCCACCAAAAGGCTCGAGGAAGCTTACAGCACTGAAACACCCCAAGCCTCAAAGCACTTGCAGCCCTAAGGCCCAAACACAGAGGTTGAAACCTCCATTGGTACTTGTATGCTACCTGGAAATCCCATGAAGTCTATCTGTCCTCGGCTTGATCGAATTGTCTGAGGCGATGGCAACGGCGGAATGCAGAAGTCTGAACGGGCTTATGACAGGCTGAAAAGTCGACGAGCTCAAAATTTTGTAGGTAGTAAGTTTTTAAGCTCCGGCGCACGGGACACTGTACGACGTCAGCGGCGTCGGCTCCTCGATCTGCTCCGGTCTCGTCGTCCAGCGGCCTTTTGACACAGGGAGCTTCCGACCCAACACCTCGCAGCCTGTCTGAGGGGCAGGCTTCTGGTCGAGCACAAAATTCATCATGTTCGGCGGCCTGCATAGAATCCTCAGCACCACAGCCAAGCTCAGCATCACAAGATAATGGTGCGAGGGCCGGGCCCACATGGCCCTCAGCGTCACCTTCTGGCACATGATGACGGCGACGTCTTTCTGCAACAAAGCCTGGTCGGGTGCGGGAGGGGGGGAGTGAGCGGAGCAAAAGGCCGAGGCCCCGGCAAGTTGCTCCATGCTCAAGGAGAACAGCTCTCGGCGGCGGCTGGGGCCATCCATCTGCATGAGGTCCATGACCTGGACAGGGCGACCAAAGCTGGAAAACAGGAGCCTGGGCCTGAGCTGGCCTCGGCTCGCACGTCGTCAAACACCAAAACTGGATCTGAAAATGGCTGTGGTCACAAAGGGCTGGGCTGCAACGAGACAAGAAGGAAGCTCAAAACCTCGCAAATCGCAGCTCGGACTGCTTTAAGCCATTGCATCAACGACTGTTTCGCTTATGCTAATTTCGAGCTTTCGCAGCCAATGAAGCTTGCATCAACGACTGTCTCGCTTATACTCTAGATTCGAGCTTTCGCAGACACTGAAGCTAAAGCTCGCAGACACTGAAGCTTGCATCAACGACTGTCGATCTCGCTTAAACTAATTCGAGCTTTCGCAGCCACTCAAGCTCTGCATTCTTGCTTTTGTAGGCCAAAGAAGCGGGAGCATAATTGGGCATATTCAGCTCGATGGTATACAGGAGCACTTCCAACCAGTCGTGAAGAAATTCTTCCCTTGGTGCATGAATGCATGCATATGTGCCGAAAAGGTACGGCTAGCCTATTTAAACAAGGCACTGGGATTGGTCAAAGAAGCTTCGAAGCCACATAGTTAGCAGATAATCAGCTTCCCGGCTGCTTGCACCACTTTTCTTGAGCTTCTTCTTAATGGCGACTGATTCCTCGTGCAGCGACATATGATGATGAGCAGCTGCGGGGGGAGGCTCTGCATCGTCGTCCATGGCGAAAATGTGCTCTCACCCAGTCTGTCGCTGCATTTGGCGTTGAAGTGTCATGCATTTTGTAATTACGAAGCTTGAGATTGACCTTGTGTGACCTGGAGCCCCAAAACTGCAATCTTTCAAGGGATGATTCCTGATATGCACCATGCCATGCATCACCACCACCAACGTCACTATATAAGACAAAAACGGGCACCATTGCAGCGAAAAGGTCACGGTGTTGAAGGTTTCAAGGTTTCAATTCAACAAAAATCCCTTACAACCCCAAGAAATCCCTTACAACCCGAAGCCCCTGATTTTTTGACTCTCGAAGACGATGTGAGACACAGTGTTGCCATCGTGGCACAATCCGGAGCCATTTGTTTCAACTCCCATAACGGGCCAGAGCAAGTTTACACAAACCTGAGCATGATGCACAACATTTCGCCACCGAACCGGGCAAGTCATGTTTAGAAAATAGAACCGATTTCTTGAATGGATCTAAAATTTAGAGACACTAGCTGGTGGATCTAATTTATAGATCCACCCGGGGGTCTGGGTCGGCTGCCAGTCTTCCTTCAGGTGATCCCCAGCGTCCTTGTTCGCAAACTGCACCTCGTCGAAGGGCTGGCTCGCCACCGTGTGAGCCAAGCTAAGCCTCAGGGCCATAGGCACCTGGTCGGCAAAGCTGAGCTCCTGCTGATCCGTAGGCCTGGGCGGGGGCTGAGCCCACGAGCCAATATCAACGGAGGCAGCTTCCTTCTGGGCCTCGTCAGCATCCGTGTGCCAGGTCACTCCCTGGGGGCCACAAAACATGCGCCAGGAAGCAGAGCCTAGCTTGATCTCTGCCGAGGGTGGACCCTTGTCCACCGCAATGACCGTCTTTTGAGAGCTTGCACTTCCCCTCGACCTTGTTGTCCGGTCGCTGCCAATCTGCAAAACAGTTCGGGCACATGAGGGTAGCCCCTGTGCTGCCAGGCTGCAGCTGACCCATGCTGCTGTGGCCCACTCCTCTGCGAGCACGATTGTAAGGGGCTGCCAGCATCTTCTCCTGGGCGAGCTGTCTCTTGTAAATCTGGTAGACCTCCAAGACCCTCTAGACAGCAGGGCGGGTCCAGGTCTCCGTTTTGAACTTGGAGAACAAGGAGGCGATCTCCTCCTGGGACAGCTGCTGCGCCAGATCTGCACTCCTTTTGCCGATGCCAAGAAGTCATCCGGGAAGCCCTCGATGCGGAAGACCTTCTCCTCCAAGGTGCCGGCTGGCAGGGCTGAGTAGGGCTGGGCCCTTGACGAGTCACCACTTCCCATGGGGTCATCCAAAGCACCCCCCCCAGGAGTCACCTGGGATTGGCACCTCAGGACCCGATGTATCCATCCCGGTCATGGCCTCTGTGTGGGGGACGACAGGGTCCGTGTCCATGGCGGCAGCGGTGCTGTCCTCATGGTGGGCCACCTCAGCAGCCATGTCGCTTGGCAGTTGGCTCTCCTCCTTGACAACCACCTTTTCGCTGCCCTTGGTCATCAGACGTGCCATGGCCGCATCCATTTCCTGGAGCCGCTGGTCCAAGGTCGTATCGTCCACCTCCAGAGTCGTGAAGGAGGTCAAGGTGGAGTTCACCGTCTCATCCTCATGGGCAGAGAGATTGTGTGCCAGGGTAGCACGGGCCAAGGCCACATCATCATCCGGCTTCTCCCATTCCGGATCACTGTCCCCTGTGTCACGAAGGGGGACCAAACTCTCAACCGTCTCCATGCTGGAGGCAAGAACATCATCGACATTAGCAACGGGGGTGAATGCCATGATCGATGGTCGCGAGAGAAAAAGCGGGAGCGAAGGTTTCAAATTTTGAAGGACCCAAGGTCCACGATCTTGGGCCAAAATGGCAGAGCCATTTTGGCAGACGTCTCCTGACATAAGACTTGCAATTCGGCAAGCTCTGTTGCAAGTAGCTAAAGTAGGGCCTTCACAAGGAAGGAGGCTGGGGGAAAGCTCATTTTGCTCAACATAGCTTCTCGGCAGCCTCGTCTTTCGCATTGAGGAAGGTGATCTTGAGGCCCCTTAGTTGGGCTGCTTGTGCCATGTCCAAGCTGTCGGCTGTCCGGCCAACGTTCTGAACACCTTCTGCGACCGTGTCGCTGAGGCTTCGCCGGCGGTTCTGGCTCGGCAGTTTCAACCGGCTCGGCTTTGTCCAACTTCTCTTCTGGTCTCTGGGCCGTCGGTAGTGGCTCAGTCTTTGCCGGCTCCTCGAACAACAGCTCAGAAAACTAACTCTGCAGTTGCAGAAAGCGCCAATGTGCGAACCTTGTCGATCGCGATCACCTGCAGCGGCAGCCCCACGTGACACGACAAGACTGCTGACACCCCGGACCCCGAAGCTGCCGCCTCTGTCCGCGTCTCCTCCGCGCTACAGATGTTGCCCATGGTTGCCAGCTAGGTAACTAGGTCTGATCGAGAAGGCAACTGCGGCAGGCTTCCTTGGAGACTTCCAGACCCCAACAAACGAACAAGCCATCATGCACAGGGACATACAAGGACCACAAGGCTTTTTTTCACTCGGCATCCAAGCTCAGTTGCACTTCTGGGCCGGGGTCAGGATATCCCAGCCGGTCATCAGTTTGACCAAACTGCAAGCTGCAGCCTGCACATCAGCGATTCCGTTGCAGGTGCTGCTGCTCGCGGGCGCACACGAACCAATCCTGCAGGCAAGTGACATCAACGTCGCCATCTAGCTGCAGCAAGACATACAAAGTAGCATGCCCATGTCGAAACAACATGCAAGCCCTTCTGTCCGACACGGCAAACACGGCTCATCCGCCGCAAAACTTTGCTGAATCTTCGACAAGAAGCCGTTATTGCTTTTGCTACTCCCTTCTCAGCTGCCCAGGTAGGTACACCTCCTCCAGCTTCGCTGAGGAGAATATAGTAGACCTTCCACTTGCCCCTGACTCCGGATCCCGAGCGCGCACCTGCAGATCATTTCAAGGCGGGGGTCCAGAAAGCAAGATATCTAAAGGAAGGAAGCACGCTGCAGCGCTGCAGACAACATGGTCAACTCACCGGACGGATGACTTTTCTTAGCAGCACGATTTCGAAAGATATCCAGGAGAACGGGCCACCTGCATCCATAGGCTCGAAGATGTAACCACCTTGGATGTGACCAGCAGAACACTTCAGAAGGCCCTGCACTTATCTGCACACTATGCGCACCTCTGGGGCGGCCTCCGGGCGGAGGCCGATCGAGGCCGAAGGGCGACACCGGAAACATGCCCTTCATGGATCATGATGATGGCATGCGCGCCACGCTTGCGCTGCGCCTGGGCCTTTTTCGAAAGAAAGCGCATAGATGAGAATGGCACTCCAAGTGATGTAAGAAGCGCCTCAGTGTCTGCCGGGGCGCTCGTGTGGTCGATCGCGCGAGTCCTACCCGGTGTTGGAGGTGCCGACGACAAAGTTCTCAGAGCATCTTTCTGTCTGATCTTTTCCACCAGCAAGGGACTCTGCAAGCCAAGAGCACCGCCAAGAATTGACCCATCCGGCTGGGCAGCTGGGTCTTGCACAAGCGAATCAACTTCGCGAGCGGAGATGAGACCCAAAAGCATTGGTTTTGTGATAGTGCGGATTAAACGGGCTTTTGGACGCTCCCGACCGGTCACGTGCTTGCGAGTCATGATGGAGTCCAAAGCCGGGTCGAAGCTTAACTTCAGACAACTCTCGGATGCCTCTGTTAGCACCAGCAGCTCGTCAAGGGAGGTGTCATCCCATACTGCACTTACCATGTGCAGCCGTACAGGGAACCCCTCCATCCTCTTGGCGCAGTGAACGGCATCTTGCAGATCGGAAAGCTTGATGCTTTTACCTTTCAGATTCTCAGCGTTCTAGTCCTTCTCGCAAGACTGCGATCAACGATGCACACCATGACAAAGCCAGGCCCAACTGAGGTTGACGCTTTCATCCCACCAAGATGCGGGTGCCTTGCACACTGCCGGGCGACGCAGGCTGAAGCACGCTCATACACCCAGCCTGTGACCACTCGCGCAGGGTGCGCATTCCAGCATCCAGAACGGACAGCAGAAGATCTTCATCATCCGCCGACAGAGCGAGATCCTCTCAGGGACCGGTGCAGAAGCTCGAAACAACGCGGCAACGTCATGGCCGAGCGGCCGAGCCTCAGCCTCGGAGGTCGAGCAAAGACACGGAGGCCTGTAGGCAAGCACCAAGCCGCCGCTCACTGTCGCCGTCGCCGTCGCCGCGCTCGCCATGCTCGCTCTGGCCGTGACGCACTTGACGAATCCTCAGAACCAGACCGACAAAAGATTTGAGAAAGCTCTGAAAGCCGCGAAGGCAAGGAAGGCAAGGAAGGCAAGGCTCGCTGTGCGGCGAGCGCAGGCCGCTGCCAGCGCCGCGCAGCCAGGAGACGCATCGTCTGCATGGCTGGTCTGTGGCGAGACTGCTTGTCAGGCCGGGGCGTAGCTGTGCCAAGGCCACTAACGGCTTCTGTGCTTGGTGTACTCGACTACAGTTTGCAAACTGCTTATCATGCGCAAACTCCCTGCATGTGCTACACGTCATTGATCACACAGTGGGACCTTCCTGCCCAACTACGCAGGCCGAAAATCTGAAACATGCTTAACAATTTAGCTCTGCTACATTTTCTGCTGTGGTGCCGCGCAGGACGGCTGCAGGCTTGAATGCATGGGTGCCGCAGCCACTGCCAAGCTCGAGTTCGGCAGGACAAATCAACTGAATTTACTGCACCCCACCAGCCGACCACGCGGATCACTGCTTCCTTTTCGGAATGACTCGCCTTGGCCACGACGGTGCAGGCCCACCGCAACGTCTTGTTCAGATCCCGTTTCATTCAGCCAGCATTGCATAGCCAAAACAAGTGCTAGACGGAGTTGCACCGGGCTCTTGGACTCTCGCAGAGACGCAGTGCGAGACGGCATACCACGCGTCGTGCAGCGGCCACATCATGAAAGGAAACGATCACAGACCAAGCATGAGGATCTTGCGGCGGTGCTTGTCGGATCTTTGGGAAGAAGTAGCAAATCTGCTGCGAGTGCTGAAGCTTGCACGCCACGATCAGCTAAGAAGCATCTGTACCTTAGTGTTGTCGACATGCAGTCTGGAACAATCAATGACTTCCAAAATACATGAACAGCTAGGATCACAGTTTCCTCCCGTGGGCAGACCGGACACTAAGGCAAAACATTCATTTCTGAGCTGCAAAGGGATCTTCCCCTGCCTTTGCCATTTTGGCATCCTCCTGTGCTCGGGCCTTCGTCGTAGCTGAAGCTTTTGCAGCTTCTGAACTTCCATCCAATATGTCCTCGAAGAGCGCATGGATCTTGCCGGCCTTTCTTTGCTGTTGAGTCCATTGCTCCGTTCGCTGTTTCACTTGGTGGAGGCCACAAACTTTCCAAACTGCAAAGTTCTCCTTCCTGAGCTTATCCTCCACAGTCAACAGTTCTTCGGCGAAGGCAGTTCTCAGAGGTGTCTCACCCAAGCTCGCTCGCCACAAGGCTGCGCAAACCCAGCCACCCACTGGGTGCGGACCCAAAGTCTTCAGGGTACCCTTGAAGGCCTTGGCCAGTTTCAGACGGCCCCCAGAACCGAGCGCAGAGGACGGAGCCAGCGCTGCTTCTAGGACGCGTGCGACACGCGGCTCCACAGCGAGAGCTGCAAGACTGCCGTTGAGCATCTTGCTAAGTCCTGATGTAATGGGGGCAACGGTTTCTGGAGGAAAGCGCAGCAGGACGGCCAGTATCAAGGGTCCTCCTGCCGGCAGCCTCTGCACTTTCTGCGTTTCTGCACCCTCTTTGTACAAGCCGTCTACACTATCCACAGCACCCAGAGATAGTAAGCGTGGCCAGGCTTGATGGTACTGTGCCGAGGCCTGCAATCCTAGCGCACGGAAGACGCAACTCGTAGCTTGTTTGAGACCTGCCCGTAGCCGCAGGGCCGCCTCCAAGAACTTCAAGACAACAACATGCTGCGATGGGCCTGACTGCGGCCCCAAGCAGCTTTCAAAATCCAATTCTGACAGAGCCAGCTGTAGTTGCGGTGCCTCGCGCAAGCCATCTGCAAGTCTTTGGACCAGAAAAGGTCCGAAAGACGACTGGACGCCCATGGCGAGGTCGGAGATCCGGGAGCGAAAGTATCGTGTGAAGAGCTCGCCATAGAGCTGGGCGCCTGCAGCTTCGATTACAGCCTCCAACACACGCGAACCTGCTGCAGATCCCACCAGCTCTTCACATTTGGACAGTGACACGTAGTTTGCGGCCCTCTCGGCTCCGACGACAGCAGCACATGCTTCCGTCAGTAGGGAGTGGTCTCCGCAGTCCCGCAAGATGCGCAGCAAAAGCTGCAGAACGGGACTGGCATGGGCATTCAAAGCTGAGACATCCCCGTGTCGGAGGAGTTTGATGAGGCTTGCGGCCACTCGACGGCGGCTATCCGCGATGGCCTCAGGAACCTCCTTCCGTGTGGCCGGCAGCAGCCCAGCTCGTGCAGCCTCCTGCCCTCTCCCGATCTTCCCCTCCTTGGAATTCACGAAGCCACCCAGTGCCAAAAGCAACGCACGAACCACGTGGGCACCGCAGGGATCTGTAACCAGACCTGTCCACAGTCTCTCCTCCTCCAGCTTCATGCAGATGGTGACCATGGGATCCATGGGAGGAGCTGTCGAGCTTCCCAAGCGCTCAGCCCAAGCAACGAAAGCGGACTCCAGCACGTGTGATCCATACTGGTTCGATGCCAATTCCGTGAGACCTGTCAGCAGATCAGTCATCAAAGTGTTGAAAGCCTCTTGGTCTGCTCGGTGAATAAGTCGTTCAAGTGACTTTGACCCTTTCTGATCTGCCGCGATTAGCAAGGCCCGGTCCGAGCCCATCTCTTCAACAGCCCGTGTTGCCAGCAAAGTTCTTTCTGGCTCATCCAAACTCTCCAGTGCCTTTGAGCACGAGCGCAGATAATCCAGCAGTTCTGCTAGGGGTCGACGCTCTCGTCCGTCTGCTGGCCGTCGACGGACTGGAGCCTCCTTCCACCCTGCCGAGTGCTACTTTGACGCTCTCTGCGTGCTGTGACCTAAAGTGCGAGCGCGTTCCGGCTCCCGAAACAATAAGAAATCCTGAGTCGGGGGGATGCCCTGACGCCTGACCTGTGTCTTCAGACTATGCTAATGAGCGAGTGCGGCCTCACGCATGCGTGGGAAATGGTAGGAGACTCTTGCAGAGGCAGAAGCATAGAATCAGAAATTCTAGGCGTCTGAATGTCGAAACGCCCGAGCATCGAACCAGCAGTCAGTGTGAGTGGGGTGCCAGCTGCTTCTACAAAGCCATGTTGGATTCAATACTGGAATGGGCTTCCACCTGTCCGGGGGGGAATTCGGACCTCCAGGGTAAAGCGAAAAGATACAAGGAGCCCCCGCTGCAGGACGTGTCATGGAGACCCAAGAAGTTGCACACCATCGGAAACCCAAGCTGCGCTTCGGTTTCGAAAGCATCTTTGCAGCATGATACTACAGAACTGATTATCCGGCATTGCACCTCGCTGCTTCTCTCCCCGGCGGCCTGACAGCGAGGGCAGCCCGAGTTTGTTTCATCGTTGTCATGGGCACGGGTCTGAATCCTCACCAGCTGCTGGCATGTTTCGTGGCGACATCAGTACATCAACACTGCTTCCGATTCAGTGAGCAGCCATGGATACACAAACTAGCGCCTGGATCTGAAGTAGCAACGAGACCATGTGCTTACGCCTCGCACCAAAATTGCAACGGATACTAGCTATCCAGCCCCCATATACCCAGTCACAACTCATGACAGCTTTGCAGCCTCGTCCGCTGCGCGAAATGGACTGTCTGGCAAGTTTGGCTCCTGGCATTCGGCATAGCTTTGGACCCCAACCTTCACCAGATGTAAATACTACCAGTGCAGTACCTGTCGTACATGAAGCACAGCTACGACAACATGCTATAAGCACAAGGCAAATTCGCACACATGGGTTGTCCGGTCCGAGATCAGAACTTGTCGGCTCCGCTTGTTAGACAACATCACGCAAGGATCGCCTCTTCCTCCTCCGGCGCGCCGTGAGCTACGGCCTGACGTTTGCATGAGCTGTATCCAGAAGCACCCCGCCTTCGCTTTCGACATGAGACAAGGCCAAAGCGACGCCAATGTCTAGGCCCCTAGGCTGCATCATAAAGCCACACTGCTGCTATGAAGATCCGCACGGCCTCCGGATCCGCGCGGAGTCTCCGCTCGACGACGCTTCATTGGGTCAAAGATGGTCAAAGCTTTTACGCTGGACAGCCGTGCTGATGGCATCCTGGGATGTCAACTTGGTCCTTGTTGGGCTGTTACGCTGAGGTCTTATCGCACCTTGACAGGTAACACCTGCATGTCAGCACGACGAACGACATGTGCCAATATCATGAATCTCAGCGATGGTAGACAGACTGAAGCGTTGGTGCCAGGCTACGTTTTTTGGCAGCAGTTACGACTCTGGCAAATTGAATGGAACACATGCCCCGAGCGAATTGAATCCAGTCGGAGCAGCATGGGTCAACACCTGCTGAAGTGGCTGAATTGTGAAGAGGGAGAAAGGCATCGAAAGCAACGAGTACAAGACCTTGCACCAGAAGATATTCTCCTGGAGATGCCGAAGAGGTGTGACCTCTCTCTCCCGTAGCTCCATGGTGCTCAATGTGAGCAGAAACAGCACGAACAAGGAGAGCGCAAAGCAGCTCACATCATATCTCAGAAGCATCGCAAGTCGACCCCCTCGACCGCCCTTGCCATCTTTCGACTCTGTTACGGCTCGGGGTTCAAAGCCCGTCGCAGGTCGACTTCTTCCCAGTGCTGCTACGCGCTTCTCCTCGCGATGCTCGCGGGAATACGGAAGTGCCAGAAATGCGATCCAAACTAGAACAATGCTACCCAAATAGTCGGCCATTGCCCCAGCCAGCGACGAGACCCTGCCCGGGCCATGTTCAGAGATACACTGTCCAAGGTCGGCGTCGTGCCAAGTAAAACATTTGAAATAGATCACTGCCCCCTGCGACATGGAGACCAAGCCACCAGTGATGAACTGTGTACCCTTGGACAACAAAATGAAGTTGATTAGTTGAAACTCGTCAGGTGGCCCTGGGAACAGAATGAATGTCAAGATCAAGGACAGCACGCTGACCCGGAAACCGGCATTGGGGATAAGCATGATCAGTGTCAGGGCAACGTACAATGGGTCCGTCAGCTTGCCAAAGAGGGAGCGATCGTACGGTAGATAGTGCCTCAACACCGTTCGCCGCAGCCAGCAGTAACAAGACCAAGTCGAGCTGGGACCGGACAGCTCCTGGACTTTCTCTCTGTCACATTCTCACTCTTTCTTTATTTCTTTCCTTCTGCCTAGCGGCCTAACTCTCACTCTCTCTTCCACTCTCTTTGCTTTGCTTTGCTGCTTGGGGTTTAGAACGGGGGCCAGTCCCCCCGACCCGCGCCCTTCGTGCTACCCTGTCCCGCGCCTTTCGTGGAACGGGCTCGGCCTGTACGGTAAGAGGTGCCTTTGACCAGTGGTCGGATACCTCTCTAGCGAACAACGAACATCGGTTGCGTTCCCGATCCATTTCTCCGACTCTTTGGTGCTCCCAACGTGTGCCTCAGCACAGCAAGAGGACCCAGACCTAGAGGACCTTGAGCAACACGCCAATCATGTGACACTTTTGAAACTGTTGGGTGCTCCGAGTCTGCTGCAACAACCCTGACCTTGCCTTCCCGTCTCTGTTCCTGCCTGACACCGAACTGAAGCCTGATCCCCTGCAGCATTGCCTGTGACCTTCCACTCGACCCCGAAGCCTCAACTACAACTGGTCCTCTGTCTCTGTCCTGCCGTCAACAAAACTGTAAGTGTTCTGCAGAGAAACGGGGCATCTTGTTTGCAGCAGGGCTTTGCACAAAGGGTTCGAGCGAAAGTGGAGTAGCAACACACTCTCTCTCTCTCACACTTACGGTAGCTAGGTCGCTGTTCATTTGCCGTCGCCGGACATTGTTAAATGTTGTTGGAATTAGCCTTGGCTTGTGTATTCTGCCTGGGCCTGCTAAGCATTTTCTTTTGATCGGCGGGTTCGTCTTGACCAAGATAGGTAGAGGCTTCCTTCATCACAACATTCGGAATGGCGCGAAATGATGGGCAATGTGTAGCGGTACTCAAGACCGGGAAGGCTGCGGCTTTGCTGAGTTCACGTTCTTTCGTTCCCGGTTTTTCAGCTGGATTTATTGCTAGAGTTGAGAGTTGATGTCGGGCTCGAATACCGACCCAAAGTGGTGGGGGAGGCTTGCTTCCAAACTTGCACTACTGGGCTGCTGCAGCATGCACAGTGAAGATCACGATTAGCATGCAAATGAGGGGAGGGAGTATCCTGCAAGTCTCGCCTGGTTGGAGCTGTGGGTTCTTAGACATGTTCACGTGTAATCGTGAAACAGCATGCCCCTTGCCTGGCATTCCGCTGACTTCAGCAATGCCAGCTCCACATTTAGCTCGATTTCCTTTTCCACATCCTCCCAAATGATGTCTATCACAGACTCGTAGCAGCCTTTGACGCAGTCCCACATATCTGGATCTGCAGTCGCTCGTTCCTTCATGAGCTTGCGCAGTTTCTGCATGAATTCAGCTCGAAGTGGTGCCGAGGTCTCCAGAAGCTTCAGCTTTGCATGTTCTCTCAAAAGCGATGTTTCTTTCGTGTGCTTTCCCAAATGCTTCTCAAAGGAGTTCAGACGCCCAGCAACTCGCTTGTCAAACTTGTTCGTCAGCCTTGCAGAGCTTGACGTCGTGTGAGCCTGAAGCAATGTTCGAGTTGCCAATGCCAAATGACGACTCTTCTTCACAAGTCTGTGCTTCATGTCGGCCCAGAACAAGTTCTGGACCGCCTTGCCAACGATGCGCTTTTGGGGGGGAGAGTCGGTGTCGCTGGACTCCGCATCGGATTCCACCACGCCCTCTTCCGACATGCTGATGGCTCGAGATGTGGCACTGGAACGGAAGGGCAAGTGCATTTCTTCGGAAGGGCTCTCCTAACAAATGCTCTTAGAAATTGCTTCTGATGTGCTATTGAACACATGTCCCAAAAGGCTTCCCGCACTGGTTTTGTAGAAGTATCCTGAACATGGGATGGCAGCTGATTTTCAGTCTTGCGTAGGACAAAAAACGCCGATGCCAGCACAAGCTCGCCGATTGCCACTGCCATGCCTTTTTATGACTTGCGAAGTCGGCTTAAGATCACAGGGCTTCGTTTCCCTACGCGGAAACTGCTGCTGTAGCAATGCTTTCAGTTTAGCTGCGGCTAATTGCCAAAGAATATGGCGTCGTGGGAATGGGAATGTTTGCGATCGTCCGCATGCTGTTCTACAAATCTCAAATGCTGGAACATCCGCGGCCCAGCAGCTCACACATCTTCTGCTGCTTCTCCTGGGGCACCCCAAGCAATTGCGTTCAAAGGTTATGGCACGACACCCTGTGAAAGTGTCTGTACAGCCCGGCCAGTCCGATGCCGGTCTTGCTGCTAGGCGTTGTCAGACTTGCCGGGAGACTACTTTCATCAGTTTCGGCTGCGCTGTTGCTAGAGTTCCAGTGCTGCTGGTACCCCCCACCAGTACTTCTACTGGGCCAAGGCGGCAGTGCTATGATCTTGATGCCTGGCCTCCTGAGTCATCTTGTCGAACTCGTCGTTTTTTGCCTTCTGTTTCTCAATTTCCTTTGCAAGCTTGGACATCTGCTTATACTTCGGATCATCTGGATCTACGAGGGTGGACTCTCCGACGTCAACAGGCTGCCAGTCTTCACTGATGGACTCTTCTGTCTCGATCTCACCCGGCATGGACTGCTGTGTGGGCAAGTTTTGATCACCACCGGAACTTGATGCACGCTTGGCCCACGCAACATCTGGCATAGTAAGCAACGCCATGCCTCCGAGGACGTCGCGCCGCCCCGGTCGCCCAACGTCTGCCACCACATTCTTCACCGGCTGGGGGTCAAGGAAGCTCGGAGCGATCTTCCATCCGCAGAAAAGTGCTGACAGCAGCAGCACGCCCTTTCTGGAGCGCCTCTGCATCCGAAGCCACACTGCCTTCAGAAGAAGTTCCCTGGTGTTTGATCCGAGCCCAAGCTGCGACAGCAAGCGGAAGCACTTTGTTTGATTTCTGGACGGAGCTGGACCTAAATGTCTAACACCCGTGGCACTCGAGAACCTGTTTTCCCACACGACAGCGCCTGGTACTGTGGAGACAAGCTTCGAGCACGTTGCTGTGCTCCACTGCCTTGATGCACTCTCCATGTCTTCATCCTGGCACTTCCGCCGGCAAGGCTGAAAGTTGGCGCAGCTGGCGAGCTGGGCAACAGCAGACGACAATGTTAGTGTCTTCCAAGTGGCTGCCTTTGACTTGGCTCTGCCGCATCTGGGTGCAGCACTTCGCGACTCTTCCACGCCACTAACTTTTCGCTGCATTGCATTGTCCAGGAACTTCTTCAGCTGCAGGATGCTGCAGGCCAGCACCTCCTGAAAAGAAGCCTTTCACAACTTGCTTTCACCTGGGCACTGCACGATCGATCTGCTCGAGCGCTGCTGCAGAATCGCCACTATGGAGTCCATGCGCTGTAACGCTCACGGGTCGCGCATCGCTCAAGCGACTCGAGCGTGCAAAGCGCCACGAGGGCCTCTTGTCGGACCTCCATCTCGTTGTCGTCCAGGCTTTTTCGTAAAGCAGACATGGCCTTCTCATTGCGAGTGGCCATCGAAGCAAGCACTCGGATCGCAGATTGCCTTGTTCCAGAGCTCAGGTTCTCGAGGTACGGCAAAGTTACATCGCAAACCCCATTGCTGTCTCTGTTTCTGCAAAGGAGTTCTACAGCCGCCACTCTCACATGCGACTGTTCATGCGCAAGGTGTTTGGCCACTGTCTCCAAAAGAAACTGCTGCGTCGGTATGCTTCCAAGCACATCCACGGCCTCCTCTCGCACATCGGCACTGTCGTCCTCACCGGATGACAGCTTAGCCATATAAGAAGCAATAGACCGAAACTCACTTTTCGAGAAAGCTGCTTGGAGTTTTCGTCCCTCGCCTCCAAACTGCTGCAGAGAGCAGCTATGGCTTCGAGGCTGCCTTGTTCTGCAAGACCACGTAAAGCCTGTATGGCAGAGATCGACACAAAGGAGCCGGAAGCATTCAGGACCGAGAAGAGAGTACCAGTACAAAGGCTCCTTCAGGTATTCTTGAATCGTGGCATGGACGCAGTGGTGCAGTGTGGTGTCCCCCATCCCGTCCTGCAAGTGCCTCTGCGCGCAGATAGCACGTTCAGTGCGGCAGAAATATCGCTTGGAAGGCATGGACAGGTTGTCCACTCACCTGGACATTCTTGGATCTAGGCCCTGTTGCTGACGGGCATGCAGTGACAGACGTAGCCATTCATCATTTACATATCACATGCTGGATGTCGCATGACCTGTCTATATTCAACGGGTGAAACCTTCTGTCCATCCTAATCCCAAACTGCTCCATCTTATCCAACAGCATGCTCGAAACCACTGCCGCTTCCTGCAAAGCCTCGCCTGTCAAAGGTTCTGGATGTTCAACGGCCGTCTCCAAGATGATAAAGACGGCTTTTGCAATGCCTGCACGATGATGACTCGCAAGCGGACCATTTTCATGAATAGCAAACTGTTAGAATTCAGGACGGAAAATTAGGACCGGCTGGGTGCTCGACCGATTTGTGATGCAATGGGGTTGTTGCATTTTTCAAGAAGCAATTGAAAGTGTTGGTTCCTCGGAAGTCGGTCAAGCTGAGCAGGCTTCTTTCTCATTGCGAGAAAGCAGAACCGTGCAGTGCGCCACCGTGAACTAGTTTGCAGTGGACAAGGCACAAGGTTCGTTGCAACCTTGAGGATACTGTTGCCCGGCCGTCGGACAAGCTACCCAAGTTTCTCAGTGTGAGAAAGCAATGATCAAGAAGCCATTCAACGATTCTGCTCCTGCGAAAGGCTTAGGATCAAGCTGGGATTTGGCGTTCGGCTTGACATGCCTGGCCATGACTGGAGGCATGGTGGCTTCGCACCTTGTGCAGTCCGGGCCATTAACTGGCAATTGTAGATCATGTTGTCTTCTAGATCCTCGCATCTCCTGAATTATGCTGCCGAGCTGATAACGCCTAGTCATTCTGGTCCCTTGCTACATGCTTGTCAACAGAAGCTACGCCGCTATGCAGCACGCGCCGACCTAGCCTTCCTCTGTCAAGTGTTGTCGAAGGCGCTGTAGGAGCTCTTGCACACGCCCGGTGTGACCGTGCTCTTCAGCTTCGTCTCGAAACGAGAGGTTCTCCACATCGGTTTCGAGATGGGCATCGAAAGCATGCGAGATGTCCCGAGATGAAACAGACAGCAACTGCCTCGCTTTGGCGATCTGTTCACTCGTTTGTAAATCCTGATCCACGTCAGCCACACACATGGCCAATGCCATGCTTGCCAGGGGATGTGCCTGTGCCTGCGCTCCTTGCCCCAGAATGTCCACGCCTGCCTTCCGACAACTTGGCGACAGGCTTTTCAGCGCCTGCACTGCAGCTACAATCGCATCTCGATCACCCAGCTTGGCCAGCGCCGCGAGGATTTCCAATCCCGTTTCTCTTTTCGGATCCTCACCCTCCAGCCACAAGGCTGCACAGCACACCACTTGCCTATGCCAGCGTCGAGCAGCATCTCTAACGTGCAAGGATGCGTCTTCTAAGCACCCTCGTAGTGCAATAGCCGCGTCTCTGCTGCCACGCAAAGCGCCTGGGATTCAAATGAGACAGAATGAATGAAAGTTGTTGTGATGTTCATGCTACCTCGACAGGGCCCCGAGCAAGGCATGTGCGTGTAGCGAAATGCAACCGCATTGCCAGTGCCTAAGACCTCCACAGCACCTTTGCGGACGAAGAACCTTGCAGGTCGGTTGCACAAGGTTCGCAGATGGACAAGGCAATGCCTTTCCAATCCACAGAGCTACCGTAAATCTTCAACAAGAACGTGTTTTCGCAGTCTTGCTTGGCCATGCAACCGATGATCTCGTAGATGTCCCAGTGCAGCATTCAAAGCATCACCGGAACGCTGGCCAGCGCAACTGCGCCCCAGAATTCGAACTGCTAAGTGCCTGATCAAGTGCCAGAACCGTTACAATGCGCAGAGCAATATGAAAAACATTGGTGGATCAGAATGTCCTGCCTAACATGCTGTCTCGCATCATCCAGCCATGTGCTGGCGATCATGATAGGCGCCATGTTTCCGGAAACGCCCAGCTGCGACAACACCTGTTGCAGCGGAGGACTTGGGGCTCAAGCTTGTGTCGCACTTTGAAAGCAAAACTTTCAGGCGCCTCCGCAGCAGCCACCCTGGCACGATCTGCACTGCGAAGTGTGGCGTCTAAACATATCTTAAAGATCAAGCATACAAGCATTTGAGCATGCTGCAAAACCAACGTGAGAAAGACAACAGGACAGCAAACAAAAGACAAAGACAAACGAGCCAAGAAAGGAAGAGCGGACAAGCGTGAGTGGGTGGAGGCTTGCAACAAGGCATTTTCCAAGATCAAGCAAGCCCTCCAGCATCAATGCCAGAAGTCCTTCAGGAAGGCACACATGTTTGTTCGGCCGTGTACATTGATGTCTAGACTCTAGACATGGGTGGATATGTGTGAGTGCGTGCATGTGAATGTAGATAGATAGATAGATGGACAAACAAATAGATGGACAAATAAATGAATAGACGGATTGACTGATATATTTATCGATTGATAGATTGCTACATAGATTGATAGACAGACAGACAGACAGACAAACAGACACACACCCATAGGTGTGTGTACGCACACGCACACACACGCACATGAGTATGTTTATGTACACACACGTACACATACATACTTGCGTATATATATATATATATATATATATATGCATATACGTACATGCATACATGCATGCATACATATACACATACATACATACGAACACGGTGCAGGAATTTCGCCGAACTATGTTCGGAAACAGCGCGGGGAATGTCACACCGAAAATTCGGGAATCGGCCAAAAACTCGAGAATCACCATCGGTTTTTTCAAGAGGCTGCCCAGAAATCGAGAAACTAGGCTGGCATGTTCGGGAGCATTTGCACTACTACTAGTACTACTACTAGTACTACTACTAGTACTACTACTAGTACTACTACTAGTACTACTACTAGTACTAGTACTACTGCTACTACTAGTACTACTGCTACTATTACTACTACTGCTACTATTACTACTACTGCTACTACTACTACTATTATTACTCGCACTAGTACTACTACTTCTACTAGTACTACTAGTACTACTAGTACTACTAGCATTACTAGTACTACTAGTACTACTAGTACTACTAGTACTACTAGTACTACTAGTACTACTAGTACTACTAGTACTACTAGTACTACTAGTACTACTAGTACTACTACTACTACTACTACTACTACTACTACTACTACTACTGCTACTACCATTACTGCCATTACTGTTATTGCTACTATTACTACTATTGCTACTCTATTTCTACTATTACTACTAGTCCTACTATCCCGGGACACGGCCAAAGGTTTACTATTGCCACCCTGACCCCAAACCCTGCCCCAAGAGACCCCCGCGCAAAATAGGCTCGGGGGGGGGGCGGGGGGGTTCATTAAATAGACACCCACATTACATATCATACATACACACCTATGTGTAGACAACCCAAGCTAAGCCACGCTGCCAACTCCCCCCGTAAAATCACCATGCATTTCTACGCGCCTTCGAAATGCATATGGCAACATGTGTTGAAGTATATCGAAGTAAACAAAAAACAACCACATTTACAGACAGACGTACACTACATACTGTCACACTTATATACATTAGGAAGTCCGCATGGGGGGGAGGGGGCCAGCCCCCTCCCCCCCAACCCCTCACTCCCCGGAAGCCAAGCCAAGCCTTGCTGCCAAGCTCGCCCCACAGGGTCGCCATGCATTTCTACGCGCCTTCTAAATGCATATGGCATGTTGTTTCTGAAGAACGCGGTGCCTTGTCGTTGAATTTTGCCAACAAAGGGGTCTGAAAAATGCCGTTGAAGTTTCCTGAAACAAACCGTCGCAGTTTCCTGAGCATGTTTGCCTGAAAATCCCAGGTTATGCCCGAACATGTTAGCACTCCATACGAACATATATGTACAGCTTGTTCAAAGGACTGTCAAGACGCTCCGCTCTGATTTTTCCATCCTTTCACCTAATCCACACCAAAGAAAAGGAGCCAGAGCCACCCGATAATGTACAGGCCCTATTCTCGTCCGTAAACGTCTCTCCCGTAGGAGGATCCTCGATCATTGGCCGGGTGGAGGAGGGGCCGCGGTGGCGAGCCGCTAAAGCTCTGCAAACACACAGGTTGAGAAAGGCGCATGGTGAACTCTGCTCAGCAAGGGCGCGCTACGAACCACTAAGGGTATTCTCAACAGGCTGCCAAAACGTTTTCCATCCGGCAAGGCTGGGAGGAATCAGAGTTGGCGTGAAACACCTAATCCACACCATTGAAAAGGAGCCAGACCCGATAATGCACAAGCCCTATTCTCGTCCGTAGCGGTTCCCAGCACAAAGGTGGTTGGGCGTCGATAGCCCGGCGGCCTTGGCAACCCTTTCGCGGAGAAGCACTCCGCGAAGCATGGCACGCGCCACCGCTTTGATCCTGCAGCAGCCTCCGCCAGGTCCCGCGCGCACCGCAGGGAACACATCTTCAAACCAGGATTGTCTTGGGCACTCGTACATACTCCTCTCCGGCATGTCCGGTGTCTTTTCGCGTCGCGCAATTGCCAGGATTTTCGAGCGGAGCCGTCAGCAGGAGGGACTTATCCTTGAAGCCCGTCGCAATGGAGCATGCATTCACCCCCGATGATGAGGATGCATCTGTGCAGCTGATCACCTCTGACTCCGCTACAGAAAACCTCGTCCAGAAGCACCGAGTCTACGCGCTCCTCCTTGGGGGGTCCCCGCCCAGCTGCTTGCCAAAGTTCCGAGGCAGGCCTTGCATCTCGCCCCCGCAGCATCCTCCGCAAGCTCCTTCTTCAAGTACCACAACCCATCCAAGTTGTCCAGGTACAGGACGGTGGGCGAGTCCGACTCCGGGATGGCCTGGTCCTTCCGGAGGTCACCACACTTCGGCGCCTTTGCGCCGAGGGCATCTCCCCTCACTTTCTTCGCAAGCGCGAAGAAACCTGCCCACTTCATCCACATCTTGAAGAGGTTGAACGCCGACTGCAGGTCCTCGCTGTCAAAGGACCAAATAGGAGTCCTTCTCCGCCAGCACCGCCGTGAGCTGGCCGACGTAAGGAAGGGATTCCGGGGATTGCGGAAGAGTTTCATTGCGTCATTGGTCGGGCAGAGTATCGAGATAAAACCTCTGCAGGTTGATGGTCACCCCATCCTTGATCTTTGTCTTTCGGATTTTGCAGGCCCGTTTGTGATCAGGTGGCCCTCTTATCCACAGGACCTCCTCATCCTCTCCCGCAGCGAACATGTCTCGGTCGTAACCTTCCGTCACTATCTGGAACCACTCGTCGTCACTGGCTGTGACCCACGAGCCTCGGTGGTCCGGCAGCTAGTCTCCGCGAGGAGGTACAACGCGGGCTTCCCGTTGTAGTCGACTTTCTTCGAGTTGAGCCGTTTGACCCCCTCCGGCGCAGGACCCACAGCCCTACCACGCTGCACAAGCTGCAGAAGCCTCGTCACCTGGCTGGCGACGCGGTTGACCACAGCCATCTGCGCATTCGTCATCGCGCGCGCCAGTGGCATGCAGACCGGTTTTGCCCAAGCCACGCAGTATAGAGGTAGTTCAGAACAGTGACAACCGCACGGACCCAATGCACATTCTCCTTGGTCACGTGCTTGGGTCCCGGAAGCACATGTCTTTGTGTTGCCGGTCGGGCCTCGGCTGAGTTGGGCTCGTCGCCCAGGGCTGACCCCGATGACAGGATGGCTTCCTATAAACCTTCCTAAGGTAGGCCAGTTTAGGCTTCTTGTTCAGTACGGCCCGAACTTTTAGCCGCCAGCCTTCATGGCCAGCCCAAGGAACATGTCGGACCAGTATCCTGAATCACATCCTTCGCTGTGGGAAGCTTTCGTCGTCGCTCTCCTGCAGGTCTCCCAGGTCGAAGTCCAGGACCATGCCAACTCCAACCATAGTCCGGGATCTCGTCCTTCACGGAGGCGCTGCTCGCTGGGGCGACCTCTTTCGCTCCTTTCCCGGTCTTGCCCTCCCGAACACTAAGTAAGTCCTAATGCGTGGCCGGATGAGCGCCAGGCGGAGAACCAAAGTCCGAAACATGAAAGCTGGAGTCGGGAAGGGGGACAGCGAGAGTCGCGAAACAGTGGCTCGCACTTCGTTTTTTGCATTGGGTTGCATCGACACACGAAGGATCCAGGCTGGAATTCACATCAGCCGAAAAACTGAGACTCGGGAGTGGCGTGCGGGTTCTAAGAGCCAAACACCAACGATGCGTGCTCATTTCTCGCCACTAGTGTCTCTTTTTGCACCGGGTGGCATCGACACACGAAAGATCCAGGCTGGAATTCACATCAGCCGAAAAACTGAAACCCAAAGTCCCCGTTATGACCGATCGTGTGCAGAAAACTCTCCAGGCCAAAGCTTGAACCATACATTGCTCTGAATACCAACTCGAGTCCAATGGACGGCTTGGCGCAGAACAGAGGTAAACCCAACGGATACCCCTTGAATATGATGGTGATTCGGTGGAGCCTCATTTTATAGACGCGGTGGTCTATAGAATGGCCCTCCAGTGTATACCCAACGCAAACACGGCGCAAAACAGGGTCTATAAAATGACCCACTCAGGTTGCAGGAACAACAACGAAAAACAGTGTGCGTCATGGATGTCTTGGGTATATTCACTATGGAATGACCCGCCTGGGTCACCCGGAATGATTTGAGTTTCCCGGTGGCATCATGCTGATGGATACCGTGCAGATTTGCCAAAACAGGAGCATACTATAAAATGGCCTGCGAGGGTACCTTTGAAAAATAGTAAAACTATGCAACAAAACCGCGAGAGTGAGCCACAAAACCCAGCAACCCAGAAGCCTGCAACCCAGAAGCCATCTAAACCCCCGAACCCAGAAGCCCGCAACCCCGAAGCCTTACACCCCGAACCACGAGAGTGAGCCACAAAACCCGGTAACCCACAAGCTGCAACCCAGCAGCCCTAAACCCCTGAACCCAGAAGACCGCAACCCCGAAACCCGAAACCCCGAAACCGTGAGAATGAGCCCAAAACCTACAGGCCCGCAACCAAGAATCTCTAAACCCTAAACCAAGCC